ACACACACAAACACACACACTCACATATATGATCTGTGTTCTAACAAAACCAACCTCAGCAACACTCTCATGACCCTTACCTGTTGTTGCTGCAATGCGCATGGCATCAGAGCCTCCAGGAGGGGGCGGTGGTACTCCTGGGGGCGGTGGTGCTCCTGGGGGCGGTGGTGCTCCTGGGGGCGGTGGTGCTCCTGGGGCTGGGGGTGGTGGAGGGGGAGGAGGAAGGACGCTAGCACCCGGGGGTGGAGGAGGAGGTGGCGGTGGAGGAGGTTGTGCCCCCGCTCCGTCAGTCTCCGCCAGGGTTGGCAGCGGGGGAGGGGGTGGGGGAGGGGGCACATTGAGACTCTCTTCCGATGGGGCTTGAGACGGGCGGGCACTCGGCCTGGTCACTTCAACAGCATTCTCAGTGACTGTCGGAGCTGGAGGAGCATCTGTCAGAGAAAGCAGAGAAACAAAATTTAGTGCTGAGCCTTAAATATCGTCCAATCCAACATACCCTTCCCAGCGAAGCATCTCCTGTCTTCTCGGAGATGGAGACGCTCCATCTTGAATTCTCTCGCCACGTGAGAACAAGCATTTCAACTCGTGTCTCTCCAATCTCACCACACCAGCACTCCAGATGAATCATAAAATCAGGGATTTTTAATGATGTGGAAAGGGGCCATTCAGCCCACTATGTCTGAACCATTTTTGTTTGAGCTAGCAGGGAGGGACGGTCCCAGGAAGGAAGTGGACTCTTACGTTAAATGTAAAAAGTCAGGTCCCTTGTCTCAGCCAGGCCATGACTAACGTCTGGAACCCAGACGTGGCCCCCAGCCTCCAAATTCCCGCCATTCCTCACTGCAATTGCCATTTTCTCACTGGCGATGGGACTCAGGAAGCAGGAACCATTAAAGGTGGCTGTTCAACTTTTACTGCCGTACCGATGGAATAAAGCAGGATTTTCACAAGCTTGGGAATCTTAATGAACGCAGAGATCCGTGAACCATCAGGTTTGGGTTCAGTGGCTGAGAAAGGGGGTGGGAAATCAGGAAAGTCGTCCTCATTCCCACCCAACTTGGTGGCTGTGAATGCGGCCGCCTTGAAAAGTAAATGACAGGATTGTCATCTTCGACGTGGCTTTGAATGGAGAGCTGCAAACCTGGGACTCTGCACCCTAAATTAAGTTATCTGCAAAATCCCAACCCAACTGCAAATTTTCTCCTTCCACTGGCACTGTCTTAAACATTCTTAACTTTCTGTTTCTCCTCAGTTCTGGTGAAAGGTCATCAAGCTGAAACATCGACTCTGTTCCTCACCCCAGATGTTGCCTGACCTGCTGCGATTTTCTAGTATTTTATGGTCCGTTTGCATATCTGTCAACTGATTTGATAAATAAAAAGGCCTCTTCCTGACCTCCCCAACTCCCCATCTGAACCATCGTTTCTCCAATGACAACAAGTTCAGCTTTTTATCCCCAACATCATGAGAAGATTTGGGAAGAGCCAGACCAACGGCCTGAAGGCTGGATCGATCTGAAGTGTTGAACCTACAGGGGAATGGGAATAAGGGACAAGGACATGGGTGACGGTTCAAAGTGGCACCTTTGCTGTGTTTGGGCCCAGGTTCTGGTGACGTTGTTACGACAGTCTGGTGTACCACTACTGGAATGATTTCTATGTCCAGATCTCCATTGTCTCCTCGCTGGATTTTGATCAGCCCTTGTTGCTCCAGTTGGGAGAGTTTCTGCTCCAAGGTCATGTGCTGTTGGATCACCCGCTCTCTGTCTGTTATCTGTGCTTGTAGAGTCTGCATCTTCGTTGCTGATTGGCTGAAGTTCTCCTGTCGGGTAGGAAACCTTACAGTAAAAATCAAACTCACCCCCACCATCCACACAATCCGACAAAGCAAGAGGAAGACTTCAGAAAGAACGGGAAGAATCTCACATGGGGAGTGGACCAGAAAACATGTTCCTACATATAAAGACATGCGTGTCTCCTGCTTAGTTGGTAAATGCCTAAGACTTCTGCTGCATGCTAGTTCCCTGTAATGAGCTTGGCACAGCACATGGCCTCTCTAAAAGGGGGAAGGTTGTTATCGTGGCAGTTGCCACACTGCTCCTACTGAGCAGGAACCTCTCACCCTCGGTGTATCGTAAGGATTCACAGATCGATAATCAACTGCTATTCAGCAAGATTGTGACACTCCCCAAGGACAATGCGCCCTGGGGTGGGACTTCTGGCTGAGAGGGGAGCACGCTACCACCGTATCAGAGACCTCACTGACAGCAGTGCACTATATCAGCTTCATTTGAAGGGTTGTGCTGAGTTTTCTGATCCCACTGGCTGTTGGTTTGGCACAGCATCTCTCCTCCACTCTTTGATATTTCCACCCATGGCTTGGCTTTGTTCTCTGTCACATGAACAGAAGCAGTTTTATACTGTACTGAGCTTCAACCCTGATCTCAAAGGGTCATGGGATCAGAGATAGCAGGCAGACGGATGTCGATAGGCAGGGTAGCGAGCCCCGAAGCAGGTTGATCTGTGGAGTCTGTGCTTCGTACGGCTAGGTAGCCTCAAAGATCCACCTGAAATGCTTCTGGAGTCGAGTTCAAACCAGTCCAGCATGCTGCAGGCATGAAGCCTCTCACTCAGTGAGGGGAGAGCAGAGGGAGGGAAGGTGAGGCCTAGCAGAGGTGGTCAGGCTACCACAGTCTGGTACAAGGGCCAGTCAGGGCTTTCCCCATGTATGGCCTGACAGAGGGTTGCTTCTACAGTCTCCCTTCTGAATAACGTTACACTCAGGTCTGGATTCCATTACCGTATTTCATAAATGTCCCCGCTTCCTCTCTGCGGATGACCCTGTTTCCTTGCTCGAGAGCACAGGTTAACGTCAGGCAAGGTTGAGAGGCAACTGAGCAAAAGGCCCTTTATTTAACTATCCCTAAGGCCCTGTTACCGCTAGGCAGGCAAGAGTTAAACAAAAACAGAAATTGCTGGAGAAATTCAACAGGTCTGGCAGCATCTGAGGACAGAAAGCAGAGTTAGCGTTTTGCACCCGGTTGTTCTCCATTCTGAAGGAGGCTTGCTGGACCCAGGACGTTAACTCTGCTTTCTCTCCACTGGACCTGCTGAGTTTTTCCGGCAATTTCTGTTTCTGATTTCCAGCTTCTGCAGTTCTTTGGGTTTTTTTTTGTCAAGAGTTAAGACTTGAGATTCTGCCTCGCAATTTTGAGCTTTGGCCTCATGTGACATTTTTTGTTCTTTGTCTCAGCACGCAGCGCACATTTGCCCAGCCCATAGTCCTGAGATTTGCTTTTAAAGGCCTCTACTCCTTGGCACGAGCTAGTGAGGCTTTCTCAGCCTCCCCATTTCACTTTAGCCATGGAGACATAGTCCATGTCCAGGCAGCACACTCTGCTCTGACACCACAGAGATACAGCTCATAGCTTCACTCACACCCAGCGCCTTTACCTTGAGACTCTCCACTTCTTTATGTGACTGTATAAGCTGTTTCTCCAATGCCGCTATTTTCATCATGGAATCATTCTCAGCCTCTTGCAGCTTTTCCATCAGCTGGACAACACAAAGATGGATATCGAATTACAAACAGGACAACACACCAAAATTGTTAAAATGTCATTTAACATTTCCCTTCCCTCAATCCACACGCACCCAGACTATAAGGCTAAGGTAATAGAATGGACCACATTCCTCTCAACTGCCTGAAAGGAATCAGATGAACAGTACACTTCAAAAAGGTACGTACTTCAAGGAAGAATTGCAGGGCTACTGGAGAACAGTGGGCTCGAGGAGATTTAGTGAATCTCCAAAGAGCCAGCATCTCCACAATGGGCTGAAGGGTCTCCTTCTGCTCTGTGTGATTCCTTGATTCTGGCACACTCTTCCCACCTGCAAAGCACCACTGTGCTTGAGCTAGAAAAAGGATGCCATGGGAACACCAAGGCTTCAGTGAGCTGTTGGTCTACTCAACACACAGGGTCAGGAATTCCTCAGGGATTCTGAAGCTCCGGCAACAAGATGAGCAGTACCTTGGGGATGGACATGTCAGGCATTCTGGTCATCGGAATATTTCAAGATGGTGTGGGGGATGGTACAGGCCTCTGAACTTCCCGACACTGGTGAGGCCCATGAGCATCAGAGACTACAGAAGAGACCTTTCAATCCCATTGAGTCTGCATGTCCAAATCATTAAGGGTTTGTTCATGGCCCATCTTTCTGGAGGTCTTCTATAGGTTTCCCACCAAATCATCTCAATGAGATTCCTCCTTAATCTTCTACACTCAGGGGAACGTGAGCAGCTTTTCCCTCATAATTGAATCCTCTCAACCCAGACTGCTACCCAACTGCCCCTTGTCAATAAGAATCCCTTCATCTGACCCAATGAGCTTGGGGCAACTCCCACTGGGATTGTGAGCCAACAATGTTTGCGCTTATAGTCCTGGACATCACTGCACTGCAGTGTAACTGGGGACTAAAGAAGACACCGAGCCCTGTGGCCATCTGCCTGAACTTGGGGAGTAATGTTGTAGTTTCAGGGCATCTCCACACCCCCCTTATTGACTCCTTCCACTGGAAGAGGAAGATATACAGGTGGATGTTCCTGGCAGGAGAGGAACACATGTCCAAACTTCCTGACTCCACCAATTTTAGAACAGAAGCTAGGCCATGCATTTACATTCTTTCACCAATTCCTCTTTACTAGCATCTAGGAAGAAAGATGGGGGTCAACCATTGTTTTCCATGATTGAGATAAATGGAATTCTCTGTGACTTATCAACAATAACTTTTATATTGCATCTATAACAGCGTCAAATACTCAAGGCTCTTCATTGGTCCCTGAATGCAAACAAAAGAAACTGATTTGTTTAAATTTACACCTTCTGTAAATGTTCAAATCCCAGTCACAAAGCAAATATCCAACTAGTCCAGGATCGTTTGGATATCGATGCACTTTGCAGAAAATGGAAGATTCATTTCCACTCATGCTACTAAGTTAATTCAACATTACAACAGCTGCTACACGTGTAGTTCCTCACAGGGCTGTGTCACTAACTTTGTCTGTGGAGCTATGCTGATCTCCGTGTATGGCCAGTGAAAGGCGGCCATCAACCCTCATGGCTGGACAGAGTGGCTCACAATTTGGGGGGAGACCACTGAAAGCTAATGGCAGCAGAAAACTATGGTGTCATTGACATTGTGTGTGTGAGATGGTGTGAATGTAGGACCTGGGTGTGCGAGAAAATGTCCGTGTGAGAGACCATGTGATTGTACGTGGGAGAGTGTGAGTGTGCGAAAGAGTGTGAGTGAGTGTGTACGGGAGACTGTGTTTGGACGAGAGTGTGAGTTTATACATGTGAGAGTGTGTAAGTGCGCATGGCAAGTGCGTCCATATAAGAGAGTGTGTGATTATACATGAATGTGAGTGTGAGAAAGAGTGTGAGTGTGTGTATGAGAGTGTATGTGTGTATGAGTCAATGTGAGTTGGTGTGAAGTTGTATATGTGTGCATGTGAGACAAATGTGTGTGTTCACATGGACTTGTGCGAGAGAGAGAGAGATGTGTGTGAGAGTTTGTATGTGAGAGTGTGTGTGTCTGTGTGTACACAGGAAACGGTGTATGATGTACTGATTGTAACAAGGTCAGCCAGGTGGACCTCAGAATGGGGCTGTAAATCTAGTCCAATCATGGAGCCCTGACTGACAGATATAAACAGGAGTGTCAGAGGTTCTGCTCACCCTGAGAGCTGGCTCTGAGGGACCTGGATCAGTGTCAAGGACTCCCCACATGTAAATAAAGGGGTGACCTGGTGACAGGATATTGGCCTCAGTGGAGTTATTTCATATGAACGGGAATGTGTCACCGTTTTTATGCCTTACGGCTACAGCATGTGTTAACTCCCGGAACTGCGAGCACCAGCCCTCCGCTTCCCTTTCACTGAGGCAGAATGCCTACTACCTGCGTTACTTGATCCTGGAGTTCTTCGACATGTTCCAACACTGCATTCTTGGTCTCTGCATCTTCCAACAGTGCGCCAACATCAAACACATTATCCAGGTAGGCCTGGATCTGCACTTGCAACCTCTCACTTTCTGATGATTTTAGTTTCTGCAAACAATACGTGGAATTTTAGCATTTGACACCACGAAGAGGAAAGAAGATATAAGGGTGGGTACAGTTCCCATGTTTGTACCATGTTCCTTAATGCAGTATTTTAACTTACGGGAATGCTTGTATTGGAACATAGCAGCGAGGAATTTCACACCAGTTTTTAAGCATTTGGATGGGAAATGTCACGTCCACATATTCTACTCTTTTTAGGTAGAACAATAATCACTCTGGCCTATTAGGCCCACATAAGTCTTTCATCCTGAACTCACCGAGCTGTGAGCGAGATAACTTAAGACCATAAATTGTAGGAGCAGAAGTAGGCCATTTGGCCCATCAAGTCAATGGGCATTTTTTTGTTTAAATATCTTCTTACATTACTAAGGTAGGCATCAAGATACTAAAATTAAGTTCCAAAGCCTGTTTAGAAATATTTCTGAAGAAAAAGGAACAGATGTTCTTAAACTACATTTGTCGGGATTCTATTGGGTTAAGGGCAGGCATTTGTTCTTAAAATCTAGTCATTTTTATTTGGTCCCGAGACTCTGATATTTATCTAGTGAGCTCATGTAAGATTAATTTCTGTGAAATATCTGTATTTTTTGTGAACCCGGGCTGGCACGTGTACCATTTACGAATTGGTGACGGCTTTACTATCGCACATCTGACACTATGTCCAGTTATCACTTTGTGCGTTCTTACCTGAAGATACTCGTCCAGGCCCAGCATGGTGAACTCAAACTGGAGATGGACACGGAAGTTCATGTCCTCGACCGAGTGTACAACAATATTAATGAACTGCATACAGGCAACCTGAGGAAAGATGGAGCGAGAATGAGAGAGATAGAGAGAGAGAGAGACAGTAGGAAAGATAAGTCGCTGTATTGGGATTATAAACCCCACCAGGTTAGTGCTGATGGAGGAGACAGGTCACTGTATCGACAGTATTTCTAGGGTGCCACCAAATAAAGATAAGGCCAAGGTTAGTCAAAGTCCATTATGTTTAAACTGAGATTTAACGCAACATGTCACAGGCTATGCCGACTGTTGCAGTTCACAGTACAGGAAAAGTAGATTAGTAAGACGGCAACCAACAGTGAGATGACTATCAGAAGGAGGTGCTGTTAGATGTAAATGTGAGGCTGGTTCACTCAGCTGTTTTGGCTGTCCAAAAGGGCCTATGGCAGGCTCCTGACTGTCTCTAAACGGTTCCAAAGCTGTTTGGTTAAAAAGACCCCGACACAGTCAATATCGGAAAAGCTGGCCAGGGTAGGCTCAGAAGCTGTGTACTGGACAATCCAATAGAGAGGGTCATCCAGGAGGATGTTAAGGACGGTGCCTTTGTCTGTTTTAATGTCTACGGGTCACTCAGGTGCACCAGCTGCGTTATGGGTCAGCCTCATTGCACAAAAGGTCAGATGGCCCTCAAGTGGATTTTTGATTGTGCGACCAGCTGGATTTTGAAGGATCATTCCTTACTATGACTATCCGTCACGTGGCCCCATCTTCATCTTGTGTACACAAGAGGCTCACCAGGGGAACTGCAAAGTGCAGAGGCCATTAATGTGATCAACTTAGTATGAAGGCCCTAGGCATGAACAAGGTCAATAAACACATCTCTAGCGTGATCACGGATAGTGTGCAGGCTTGGAGTGTGAACAGAGTCAGTGTGCAGGTCCCTAGAGTGACCTGGGTCAGTGCGTAGGCCCCTAGAGTGATCTGGGTCAGTGTGTAGGTCCCTAGAGTGA